GGGGCCAAAGTGGGGGAGGGGAGGCAGAATGATGGGGGGAAGGGGAAGAGGTTCCCAGATCTCTCTCTCCCCCGACTCTTCTATCTCCTGCTAGCACCTCTCAGTGACTGTTCCCTATCAGAAACCAGAGGATGAGGATACTCACTTCAAAAGGATCAGCCTCCAGGATACAGACGGCAGAGAGGGAGGGAGAAGGGAGGGGATGCAAGCAGAAAAATATCAGCACAAAGGTGAGATGTGATCATATCCGTAAATTATCCTGCACACAGTAGGTGGCCAAGAAATGCTGCATCTCCCGGGATGCTGAGCAGCCTCTGGCTATTCTGAGTTCAATGTCTCCCCAAGTATCTGTTGAGTCGTTTCTTAACAGTTTTCACAACAGCATCTTATTGTTTACAAATGGAAGATCTCAAACCAAAGCTAGTTTCCCCAGGTCAAACTGAAAATGGAATCACAGTGCAGAGGCAATAATAAGGAGAGGAAGTGAGTTGCAAGGGAGACCCATGAATTAAGAATAAGGCTTATCGAAAGAAGCCAGATCTACAGAGTATAGGAGTAAGAACAAACACGTTGAAAATTAAATATGAAATGGGTGATTATGTAGTAATGAGATTGAGGACATTACAAAGGACACTGCCATTTAAACCACCACATCGCAATAGAGTAATGAACGAGAAAAACCCTCCAGCTTCGTAATTATAATCATAGTTGCTATAACAACTTAGTATCTCTCTCCGTGAGCATCTATCTTGAGACTATATTTTTAGCAATGACTGTGCCTGAGCATGTATTTTTCTTTATATAGCAGCTAATTTTTCAAATTACTGATCTTAAAAAAAAAAATTCCATTTTCATTCTCTCCGAGTGTAAAAGTCTCGAAGATAATTAGGGAAATGAGCAGGTGTGAAAGTCCGTTATGAAAAGTGCTATAAGAGTATTGATGTCTCGACAACATTTGTTGCAGCAAAATGTTCTCTGGACTTGTACACTCTATTGTTCCTTGTCAAGCAGCTTAACATAAATCTTCTCTGGAGGGCTCATAAATATTTGAAAAATTATTAGCTCTGTAAGGTGTTTGAGGATTATTTGACAAGTACAGATTTATGTTGTGTAACAGAAATTGGCTTAACAGAATCCTGAGTCTCAGGAATGAATGAGTGAATAAACACTGGCTTTCCTTGCTTGACAGAAATGCATATAACAGATTCCCAACTGAAGCAAACCATGGGCTGACATTAAAGAACACCGTTTGAAGAACTCAGAGACCACGGAAGATTCCGAGCTGCCATTTTGGTTTCCAAATTTGCCCCTGTTGCTACTCCCAGCTGAAGGGTTTGCTTTGATAGCATGGCTATTGTCCAAGAAAAGTTAGCATGTACCCAAGCTCCACTCACACCATTGGGAGATGCTAATAGCCCTTTGTTAGGGTCCCAGACTTAAAACAAATTATTAGGTTGAAAACAAAAAGTTCTCAGGAAGAAGCACTCTTTCCCAATGCCACGAAAGACCTGCAGTCAGACTAGTCGTGCGACAAGGATTTCTTTCCTGACTTTACTGCTTCTGTGGAAGATGTAAAATTAGCAAATTATTATAATCACTAATTTATAAAGAACTTATAAAGTCTGTGCAGGGGGCAATGAAGAGTAGGCCTTATTGCTGTTGCCCATTGGTGAGCAGGGGAGCTAAGTTTGGGTGAGTATGGGAGCCTGAGTCCCATGCAAAAGGGTTGGACTTACGTGGGATTAGTAAGCACTTTGGGTTCTTTAGTAGGAGAACAATGTCATAAATGGGTGTTTCAGGGAGAAAGCTGATAGCTTCCTAGGCGGGGTGGACAGGAACTCAAGAGGCCAGAAGCAGGGACACAAGCTGTGTGAGTGTTCCAATAATCTGGTATGTGGCTCTGAATAACGGACTAAGATCCTGGCAGTGGGGACAGAGGAAGAGGTGAATTAACGAATGTGTGCCACAAGAAGCAACAGGACTCACTGACATGTCAGATATATTAGAAGGTAAAGCAGAAAAGGGACAAAGTCTTCATCTGGGAAGCTGGAGAAGGAGGGCCCCTCCCCGGCAGATAGGCAGGGTTGAGAAGCAGGATGAGGTTTGGAGGCCAAGAGAATGAGGTCAGCTTTGCCATCCTATCTTCCTAAACTTCATGAACTCTGGCTGTGCCCTGCACATTTCCAGGCGAGCAGCCCGAGAGAGGGAATCAGAGATAGACAAAGGCAGCTTCAGGGACCGTGCAGCGGGCTGCTCCGTGTAGGGAGAATTGGCATCAGTGCAATCAAGTCTTGTTCTATTTGTTCTGCTCGCATTAATTATGTCTCTCCATGGAAAACAAACAAGCAAGCGATAATAGGGAGAATAGTGATTAGTGAGATTCGTTTCCTGATTCTGAGGATGTGTTGAGGGTCACGTTGGAGTGGGACAGTCTCTGATTGCCTACCAGACACTGCAGCGCGAGTGTATGTTACTTTATTTACCTATGAGGTGTCGGGAAAGTAAAATGTTTCCGGAATTTACAGTTTGGGGCTACCAAGATTCATCCTGCCGGACTTCAACTACAGGATAAAGGCAGAAGTGCAGGGTTTAGTCCTGACTGTCACTAGTTTGCTCTGTGTCCTTGGGTGAGTCTGGGCCTCAGGCTCCTCCTCTGTAAAATGGGAGGGAGAGAGTTAGTCTCAAGTTTTAACTGTGCCGGAATCACCTGAGGAGTTTTTCCGAGGTGCCAGTGCTCAATCTCACCCTTGGGAGATTCCATAGGTCTGGGGTGGGCCTGGGCGTCTGCAAGGTTAGCAAGCTCTAGAGTCTCTGCTGGAGGTGGTGCAGGGGGCAACCCTCTCTGAATGGTCTCTGAGGCCCTTTCTGTCCAGGATTCCGGGTGATCCTCTTACCTGTGCTTCATACAGCTAGCTGGAACTTCTGGGTGTGTCGCCTGCTGCTCTGTTGCCCCTGAAGCCCCGCCTGACTTGTTTTGTTGTTGGGAGTGCCTGGCTGCAGATAAGAGAGCCCATGTGAGTGGGCCCTGGGGATATGTGATGGAGGAGGGCGGGCAAGGATCCAGAGGGGGCCATGGGCCAGCCTGGCCCAGGGCTTGGAGACTGGTGGGAGGGGAAGGGGGCCCCCTCCTCTCTTACTCTGGAGACCTGTGTGGGCTCTGGGTTCCAAAATGTCCTGAGTGGGTTGATAGCTGAGTCCAAGGCCTCCTGGCCCTTGGAGATATGGCAGGGCCTCCTCAGCCTGCAGCCTCCTCCTCTCACTCTGACCATTCTGCTTTGGCTTGCAGCCGCTTTGGCTTGCAGCATAGGAGGCCTGAAGACCTGCCTTAAGGGATGGCCTGCTTTGGCAGCCTGTGTGGGGAAAATGAGAGAAAACAAGGTGACAAATGGGGGAAGTGAGAGGAGGAGGATAGCAGCTGTCTTGGCCCACGCCCTGCCCGCTGTGGGCTCAGAAGAGCGACTCCAGGCGACTGGGGAGGCCTTGCCCAGGTGCCCAGATTCAGCTCAGTGTCATCTAGGAATGGCAGAGTCCAAAGGGACTGGAAAGGTGATAGCCCAACCCAGGGATGAGGGTCAGTCTGTCCCTGTGGTAGACAGAATGGCCCCCTAGCGACATCCCTACCTGACTCCTGTGAATAAGTTAGGTTAGATGGCAAAAAGGGCTTTGCAAGTATGAATAAGGTTACCGCCTTAAGAGAAGGAGATTGTCCTGGATTAGCTGGGTGGGCCCATCTAATCACAGAAGCCCTTAAAAGTAGAGAACTTTCTCTAGCTGGAAGAATGAGAGATGTGCAGAAGAAGTCAGAGCTCTGAAGCCACAGGAGGGACTCAGTGTGCTAGTACTGCCTCTGAGATGGAGGGCCCACAGGCAAGGACCAGAGAGGGGCCTCTAGGAACTCCCATGGAAAGCTTGGGAAGGAATGCAGGAGTAAAAACCGGCCTTGGCAGCCAGCCAGCCAGTAACCGGGATCTCAGTGCTCCCGCTGGAGGGACTGAACTCAGCCAACAGCCTGTGGGAGCCTGGAAGCAGGTTCTTCCCCAGGGGCTCCACTAGGAACGCAGGCTGCCGGGGCCTTGATTCTCGCCTGGTGACACCTGCCCAGACTTCCAACCCGCAGAGCCGTAAGATAAATACATGTTGTTTAAAACACTACCTTTGTGGGAATTTGTTGCAGCAGCAATAGAAAACCAGTGCAGTCCTGTGTCCCCAACATCCCAGCCTGAAAGACCAACACAAAGTCGTCGAAGGTCGAAGGTACTTTCTCAAAAGATAGTGAGCTCCCTGCCCACCTGACCGCAGGGCCCTCTGGACAGGAGTCTGCTCTTTGGATGAACCAAATGTCCCCTGTGCCTCCCAGGATGGCAGCCCTTGGGAAAACTCCACTTTCTCTCCCCGTGCGAGTGTCATGGGCTGGGAGGCGAGCAGGGGTCCTTCAGGATCACTAGGTCCTGCCCGCACGGCAACTTTACTCCTGGCAACCCTGGGGACCTGGGGCCTTGGGAATTCCTCGCTCAGTTCCTGAAATAGGATCATGATCAAGTTGGGAGAAAGGTTTGTACGGCTGGTAGGGAACGCAGGTCAATTTTCTCCAACCTGCAAAAGGCCTGAGCTTCCTTCTAGATGGACACTCCTTTGAGTTCCCGGGAAGCAGGGGCCCAGCAGTGACTTCACTGGCCGGCTTCGGGGTGCGAGGAAGGGAGGAGGGTTGGAGGCAGTTGATGGGATGGAAGGGGCCTCAAACACCTGCCTCCAAGGGCCGGCCGCCGCGGGGTTGGCAGGGAAAGGGAGGGGAGAAGGAAAGGCGGGGCCGGCCCCCCTACGCCCGCCCCGCGCCTCGGCGCGCCCCTGCCCGCCCCGGCCCGGCCCAGCCCAGCCCAGCCCAGCCCCGCGGGCCGGTCACACGCGCAGCCGGCCGGCCGCCTCCCGCGCCCCTGCCCCGCGCCGCTGTCCGCGCCCGCCGCCCGCCCGGCGCTCCCGGCGACCGTGACCCTGCCCAGGGCGCGGGGCGGAGCGGGCATGGCCCGCCGGGGGGCCGCCGCGCTGGCCCTGGCCCCGGCCCTCGCCCTCCTGGCGGTGGCCTTGGCCGGGGTCGGGGCCCGCGGCGCAGTCCTCGAGGACCCCGACTACTCCGTGCAGGAGATCTGGAGCCGGGAGCCCTACCACGCGCGCCCGAACCCCGAGCCCGAGCCGGAGCCCTTCTCGCCGCCGCTGCCCGCGGGGGACGGGGAGGAGGAGCGGCAGCCGCGCCCGTCCCAGCACAGGCCGCCCAAGAAGGCGAGCAAGCCCAAGAAAGTGCCCAAGAAGAAGTTGGCTCCAGAGACCTCTCCCCCAGGTAAGTAACTTTCTGCGCGGGGCGGCCCGAGGGGGCGCCCGTGGCCGCGCGCCTCTCCCAGCGGTGGCCGCTGGGTCTGAGGGGACAGCTGGCTTCCCTTTCTGTGTGTCTGGGATGAGAGAGCCCCCGAGCCTGCCCATCTCTGGCCCCCCGCCTCCCTGGAGACTGCTGTGCGCGTCCCGCTGATCCCTCGGGGCTTCCCGGAACCTAAAGGTGACCAGCATTCCCTCCCAGGTGGAGAGAGAGCTGTGCAGCTGCCAAGTTGCCTGGGGAGCTGGTCCCTCCTGCTCCAAGTTTGAGATTTACTGGGCAAAGGATCTTTCTGCCGGCCACTTCTTCCTTCTCTGCCTACTTTTCCAATCTTCGTACGGGGCGTTTTCCCGAGAGTGAATTTCCGATTTGGCCATGTGGACGGCCGGTCTGTTTTGGCACAATGGCCTTCTGGGGAAAGCTCCACAGGGGCCTTTACCCAGCCCGTGTCCCTCTCAGCTCCCTCCCTCCCACTTTCTATGGGTCCCTTGAGTCCTCTGCCCACTTGGGACAGGGTGGCACAGCCACGGGCTACAGGCAGGCTCTGGTGTCGGTGGAGCTGGCCAGGTGCAGGCTGTGGGGGAAGGCCAGCAGCGCCAGGCAGCCTGGGGCGTGGTGTCATCCGTCCATCTCTCACACGCTTCTCGAATCCATCCCCAGTGTCTGCCAGTCCCGTCTTGGAGAAATGACTTCCATTCGGTTTCTTACACTCCTTTGAAGGGGGACTTTCTCTTAATTGTTGGGAGTGTTCTTTGCTCAAGTCGCAGAGGGCGGTGGTCCTAGTATTTCAAGGTTGAGAAGTGTGCAGGATTGTGGCCAAAGTCTCTGAAAGGAGACTGAAAGCAGATCCGTGCTGGTGGCCCCATTGGGCAGCTGCTGGCGTGGAAGGAATCGCCTTGGTTTGGTTAAACTTTTCATGGGAGTCAGCAGCGAGCAGTGGGAGAGGGGTGCAGATGGGGACACAACTCTTGAATGTGTGGACCCATCCCAGCAGCCCCTTTGCACATATGTGGGGGTGGTCCTGTTGTATTTGAGTTTGGGCAACTCTGTAAATTGGCAGGCAATTCCATGAGTTGTGTAACCCTGAACAGAAGCTTCCAGAATCTCACATATTTTCTGGGGAATTATGGGAATTAAGATTCGTAAAAGTCACAGTGGATTAATAACAGGAGTAGGAGTGGGAAGAGACAGTTATTTGTAGAACCTTGTGACTGTTTGTGAGCTTCATGTATAACTTTTTTAATTCTCTCAGTGGCTCTAAGGGGCCGGTATTCTTGTGATTTTCCAGATGAGGAACTTGAGGCTCTGACGGTTTAAGCAACCTGCTCAGTGTCACTCGCTGGCTTGGAGGTTTGACAGTACTCCTTTGCTTTTTAACTCAAGGCCTTTTTTGTTTGGTAGTTTGAATCAAATTTGCACGTTTTTGTTTTTTAGTATCTGCTATGTGTTTAGTGCAGCACTGGGCATGGTGGGGTGGGGTGGGAGACATGTATGTTGGGTTCTGGTATTTACTGGGCAGATCCTGGGGACGACGTGAAAGGGGCCCCAGATTGAGAGTCTGAAGACCACACTTCACATCCAGGTCTGAGGCTCAGCACCCAGCTTCCTGGACCTCAGCCTCTTCATCTGCACAGGAAGCCCGGCACCTGCTGCCTCATATCACTTTGCCGCTTGTCCTACAAGCTTTTCAACATAAGCTCCAGTGTGCCCACTCATGGGTGTGCTAGCCCTTCTGTGAACTGTTCAGTCATCCTGCAGGTTGTTACCAAGAACCCGCTCAACCCCAGGTGCTGGGTGAGGTCCTGGGAGTGGAGAGAGCAAGACAGCCCCACTCCCACCCTCGGGGAGTGCACAGAAGTTGGGGGACTTGGAGAATGTCACTGCAGGTGTACTGAGGGCTGGGTCGCTGATCCCCAAACTGAAAACAGGTCCTTGGAAATTCCAGAGACTCATCTTCGAGGCCTTCCAGAGGAATTCCTCCAGGCCTGCCACATTTCTAATGAATTCTTGGGGCTTTTTAGAGCACCCTGAACTATAACAAGCTAAGTGTGACTTTCATCACATACTTTCAACTCCTGTCCTTTTTTTTTTTTTGGCACTTGGCCAGTGGAACCCTCCATGCTGGATCCCAAGTCTGGGAGATTGGTTTAAGAATGACCTTGATTAGGGGAGTCAATCAATGATAGTTTTAGACTGTATTAAGAGAAAATTATTTTTTCCCGCTTTAAGTGTTGGCCTGATATAGGTACTGCTCGTGATGTCATAAAAACATTCATCTCTGCCTCGGACCATTTCGTGAGCAGGTTGTCATAATATCTTAGGAATGCATTTACAGAGGAAGGAACGTTGTGCCATGGTTGGAGTGTTTAAGGTGAACTTCTGGACTCGGCTTCACCGACCGGGGGGATGGTACGTGAGGCAGGAGTGAGCGGTTAGAGATGAATAAGAATGTAAAAGCATACATAATAACTTAAAAGTCTATCATCTGCTTTGTCTTTGCAGATGATAAAGTGTTTTCCAGGTAGCCTTGGGTAGAGGTTGGGATCAAGGGAAGATGGAAGGCAAATGGTCTGTGTGTCAGGCTCCAGGAGGGAGTCTCGTCTTAATTTCATAGGAAGATTTGTTTAAGGAGCCAAGGGCACTGGGGACTTGATGTTGGTGTGAGTTTGGCTTTGACCCTTGCCTGTTCTTTCACGCTGCCACAGAAATGTGCCATGGACGTCCTGTGCTGACATTTTCCGGGAATGGCTTGGCCAGCTGAATCCTTTGGTTAATTGAGAGCATTGCATTTTTCCATAAGTGGCTGACAGATTCCCAGAGAAGGAGAGCCCTGATATACTGAATAGAGTGGGATTAAAAAAAAATTGTTTTTTAAGTTTTTATTTTAAAATAATTGTAGACTCACAGGAAATGGCAAAAATAGTACAGTGAGGTCCTGTGTACCCTTTGCCCAGCTTCCCCCAATGATAGCATCTTTTAGGACTATATATAGGATTTCTCAACCTTGGCAGTATTGACATTTTGGGCCAATTGTGTTTGTGTGTGTGAGGGGGCTGTCCCGTGCTGTGCAGGATGCTTAGCAGCATCCCTAGCCTTGACCTACTACATGCCAGTAGCACCCTCCCTCCAGTTGCAATAACGAAAAATGTGTAGACATTGCCAAATGTCCCCAGTGGGTTGAGAATCACTTCTATATACAATATCAAAACCAGGAAATTGTTATTGGTACAATACTATTAACTAGATTGCATACCTCATATCTCACCAGTTTTTACATGCACTCGTGGGGGTGTGTGTGTAGTTCTCTGCAATTTCATTACATGTACAGATTCATGGAACCACCACCACCATCAGGATACAGAACTGTGGAATCCTTTCCTGAGGTTGAGTAGGACTCCATATTATACAGTTTCTGAGGTCCTTATTGTGAAAATCAGTTAATCCCCAAATTTTAGTATTTGAAGGAAACTAAGTGGTCATTGTGTACAAATTCTTGTTCTACACAATCTCAAGAGTGGCCTGCCCAGTCTCTGCTCTCACACTGCCACTGATGGGTTCACCACCTCCCAAGACTGCCCATTCACTGGGTGATCAGCACTGATGGCTAGAATGTTGTTCCTTGTGGGGACCTGACAACGTGCTTCTCTCTAGTTCCACATATTCAGCTGTTTCTAGCCAAATTCGGTAGTTCCTAAATCCTTGCAGTGGTAATGCTTTGGGATCCAGAGAGTGAGTCTGAGGTCTCCAGTTTTCATTATTCCAGGGTGATGAGTAAGATAAGGGACCACATTCTGCGCACAGCAGTGGAATTGGGGTGCACTTACTTTGCATGTCATCTCCAAATGGATGACCTTGGTTTGTAGCCATCTCTTTTTAGAGAATAAAATGGAACAGAGAAGTAAACCATAGTTGTATATAACTCCCTTACTTGTTCCCTCCCAAGTGGCAGGAAGGAACAAACAAGTTAATAAACAAGACTCTAAGTGATTTAAGATTTTTTTCTTTCCCATCATTGTGCCTTGGTTAGAAATAGGTGAAGTCATGTCACCTTAACTTTTGGGTGCTGATTTGTTTATTTGTTGCTTTCTTCAAGGACTGGCGAGAATGCGCCACCATTTGAATATGTGCATGCCTGCATCATGTCCACGGTCCCGGTCCACAGTCCTGAGCCCGTGGAATTTGCAGAGTGGGCAGCAAGCCACGTTTGTTTGCATGTCTGTGCCCAGAATCCGCGAGTTTGCATTTTGCTGTGTTGTGCTCCAGCCATGGTGGGGTAGGGGGTGGGAGTGACCAAGAGTTGTTATTTGAGCATATTTGGTTGTAAACAAAGACCTTTCTGTTGTGTGCGCTGCAAGCCAGTTGCTGGAAAGAGCTTCACTTTTAAGCTTTGCCTCCTCTCTCTTTGGGGCGTCTTGCTGTGTTTGGCCTTTAGGTGGAAACATCTTCTCTTGGGCAAAGCTGGAGTGTGAGGATTGGGAGGATGTGTTTGTAAATATGTCAATATGTATTTTAAGAGTAATCCCAACGCTCTCAGCTAAACAAAAACAGGAAATCTTTATATCATGATGTCATGTGCTTGCTTGAAGAGTTAAATTCAAAGTGTTTTGTCCAGATAAACTCCTTACAAAATTCCAAGGGAAAGGAACTTTTATAAAAAAGGTCGTTTCATGTACATCAGCAAGCAGCTTTCTAAGACACCACCTCTCTTTCCAAAATGCTTTCCAAAGTCAACTGTTCATGCTGGCAAATCCCCCCGCCTGTGCCCATGGTTCCAGAACCCAGGGTTTGTGCCTGGATAGTGAACGGGGAACACTCCCATGTTTGGGGAAGTGGGATTGGATGCTGTGGTTCTTCGAAATAGCCATCATGTCTCCATGTGTTTCAAGTCTCTTTGGCTGCCAGATCTCATGGTGGATGGTGACTTCACTGCTGGGACAATGGCCACCTGGTCCATGGTCCCTTGAGTTTTGAGGTGAGGTCTCCAATGGATGTCCCTGGGGGATCAGGGAGCCTGAGGTCTCAGGTTTGGTGACTCCAGCAATGGCTGTGCCCTCTATGGCCTTCTCAGGTCCCTGCCACCATAGCTGGTGCTCTGGGATCATGAAGCCCATGAAATTGGGGTGTCTTTGGATGGCAACTGGGAAGGGCTCATGTTCCTAACTGGCTGGCAGCCAGTTGGCTACTTGTCCAGGCATCATACGATGGTTGGAGGGGAACGAAACACCTTCAAATGTTAATTTAAGGCTCTGCTGTCACAGATTGTCATGGCATACTCGATCTGTGCTAGGCACATGTAGGTGTTTGGCAAAGTTTGTTCAGGACTCAGAGAGAGCTGGGATCAGAATCTGGCTGTCCCTCTCATGGGTACATGTGACTTCTCCAAGCCTCGGACTCCTCTCTGTGACACGGGAATAGTAATAAGCCACGCTTCCCGAGGGGGTGTGAGGTTGGGTGGGTCAGCGTGCGGCCTCTCAGCCTTCGGAGGGATGGGTCAGAGGCACCTTCCACCCAGTTCCCCAGAGTTCCCAGCAGGCTGAGTCCCAGTGGGTCCTGCTCAACAGTGCAATCTGGGTGATTGGCGTCTTTCTCCCTCCACATCTTCACCTATGCTTCATGAAGTCTCCTCCTGGATACACTCCTGCACCAGGACCTGGTCTCAGGCTTTTTCTAGGTGGAACCCAGACTGAGACGGGCAGGTATCACAGTGCCCTGCACATGCCCCTGCTGCTGTTCTGAGCCCCTTATTTGGTTGTAAGTCAGGAAGGTGGCCGTTGCTGCACAGAGGCTGGGAGTGGCTGTCCCTCATGCCCCAGGGACCCTGATGGAGATCAAGTCTTCTGCACAAAAGGCTGGCCCAGAGGAGGGCAGAGACTGACAAGAGAAGACAAAGCAGAGACGGG